CTTAGTATGAATATTACATTTGAATTTTACAGTTGGCACAAACAGCCTCACGAATAAGGATCAGAGATACGGCACATATTTTACAGTTGGCACACATAATTATCATTTTACGAATATTATGGTATATTATGAATGTTATGAATTAAATATTTTTACTATTTTGTTGGATCGGAGATTTTGAAAAAAAAAATTGAATTTTACAGTTGGCACGAACAGCCTCACGGATAAGGATCAAAGATACGGCACATATTTTACAGTTGGCACATATAATTATCATTTTATGAATATTATGGTATATTGTGAATGTTATGAATTAAATATCTTTACTATTTTGTTGGATCGGAGATCGGAGATTTTGAAAAAAAAAAAGATTTTAAAAAAGAAATTATATTAACATACCTAACTGCCACTGGTGAGACTCAATCCCTAGTCATTTTTTTAATTTTTCACCTCTATGACCAATTGAACTACCCTTGCGAGTATAAACAAGTTATTGTTCAATAGTTATATGGTGGACAGGGTGCATATCTACAAATCTAATAAGAGCCAATAATATTAGGCTCTTAATTGGAACAAAAAAATGTCGGTATTAGTTGTTTCTTAAAATGAATGGTTCATATTATTTTGATTTTAGTATTTTTTTTTAATAATTTTCCTTATTTACCCTCTATTATATTATTTTCTCCCCTTAAATAACTCTAAATTCCGTTAGTATATAAACTTTAGTAACGGAATATTCCGTTAACTATTTATTATTCTTAACATATACTTATTAATTTATATAAGAAATGTCTTAGGTTCGAACCTCATCCCAATTAGAGTTGGCATAATTGTTAAAAATATTATGAATATGTAAAAATGTATTAAAAAATATAATATAAAATTTAACATAAACTTTGGTCAAATAATTAGCATTCAAAGTTGAGCATCAAAGATTATAAATCAGAAACTTTGAAAATTATTTGATTTTCTTGAATTTATTTTTAAAAAAAATTAGGTTTTTTTTAACGTTTAATTAATCTTCTTTTGATTATTTAGAACAAAACTTAATATTTCAATTATCCTTTTGCATTATAGGAATGATTTAGGTCATTATGGTATTAATATTTTTTGTATTTTTTTAAATAATAGTACAATTGTACATTACTTTGCAAATATTACACTATTATTTTTTTTATTGGACAAAATTGTTCTTACATCATTGTCAGACCTGCGCGGCTTAACTACAAAGTTGTTGATCATAAATACAATTACACATGGATTCTAAAATGGTAGGACCATTTTCTAAATAATTGACAATGTTAACATCCTACTAGCTCCAATTGAACAAGTTTACACGTCAGAATTTTAACAATGCATGAAAACTTCTAAAGAAATTTGTAAGTTAATTTTTACTATATCATTATAACAATATCTATTGTAACCATATATTTTAAATTATTTATTATCATCCTCTATTCACATCAATTGTAGCAATTGTCATTGACAAACTTTCAAAACAATTTGTCTCAACAAGGAATGGAAATTTTTTTAAAAAAAATATTAATTTCATTATTGTTGATGAAAAGTATGTACGACACTTTATTACTCTTATTAAATAAAATAAATTAGTAGCTACAACAAAAAATAATACACATACATTTAATTAATTTAGAATTAGATGTCTATAATGCTTTATTTTAAAAAAAATCATTATAAAAGAATTTTTTTAAAAAATATAATTTCATTAGTTATATTATCTTTATTTTCTACAATTCAAATATTCCTTACATTCAAATTTATTAATTTATTATATTCACTACGTTGTTCATTGTATTCTTTTTACATTATCTTATAATTAAGTATCAAAGTTATATATATATATATATATATATATATATATATATATATATATATATATATATATATATATATATATATATATATATATATATACACACACAACAAACATCTCACAACACATGAAATATGTAGGGAAAAACTACCACTACTAAAGCTTCATACACCATAATCTCATTGCATGATAAATCCTTCTATGCTACCACCAGTAACCTAATTGCACATGACACACTACCAATAAAAAAAATTAAAAAAAGAGAGGACATGTACTGAAGATGAAAATTAAACAATGACAATGCTACCCAAATGAGAATTAGAGAAATTTAAACCAAAAGTAGTATTTATTTATACTATCGTTGTAAGACTAAGTATTTAGACTAGCGTTATTACAAAGTTGCAAACATTTATTTTAGTGACAATTATAATCAATCTCGTATATATTATCTTGAATTTATATACTTTAAATTATCGATTTAAATAAACAAATTCAACATTTATTTACCTATGCATAAACATCTCCTATATAATATTACATTGATATACTTTGAAATACTTATTTAAACATAATCTGGGCATTATCCCAAAAGCGCGTAAAAAACTAGTTGCTATATATATACATCTAACACATCCCTATTTTTTCGTTCTCAAATTTTTCAAATTAAATTTATTTGTCTCTTTTTCATATTTTTACAAATAAAATTAATGTATACAAAATATATCATTAAAAATCTCTAATTTACATCTTTTAAATGACACTCATATTGATACTTTGTATATATTTTTTTAAAAAAATAAATATATAGGTATATAAAGTCATTACTTTAGTGTAATGTTTGTGTACATTAAATTTTATTTTCATAAAGAGTTTTTTTTCCAAAACGGTCCCTCAATTATTGTTCATTCTCAATTTTGCATTTCTACTTTCAATTGCACCAAATGTAGTCCTCGACTTTCAAAAACTCACCCAATTTAGTCATCCGTTAGATTTTCCGTTTACTCAGTGTTAAAATGGAGGGCATTTCGTCCATCTACCTATTATACGCCTAATATACGGTGAGAAATACACGAGGAACCATTTTGGGATAAACCCTTTTATTTATTTCATTTTTTAGACTCTATAAATTAGCTAGAATTTCTATACATTTTTTTCCATACAAATATAATAGATAAAATCCCACATTCCAACTTCAAAATTTTAAACTTTCTCTACAAATGTTTTCCTCTGTCTAAAAATACAAAGTTTTGTTCTATCACTATTAAGTTTTACAATAAGTTTCGTAACTTTCATAAACATTCATATACTTTTTTTTTTATATTTTTCTATTCATATTTTATATATATATATATATATATATATATATATATATATATATATATATATATATATATATATATATATATAAAATCATACTAAAAGTTCTATAGACAATCAATCAGTATGTACCACATTAAATATTATTTTTATCCTTGAAAATAACATTATTATTTTTTCGAGTTTAGAGACCCAAATTCGTCAGAGAGGTGCTTCTAGAACTTCTCGGAAGTGAGATGTACGCTTCATTTCTCGATCAATGACAAAATATTGAAAAATATTTATGGATAGTTGGCTTAACTTAGCTTGCAAGGCCAAATGCAAAAATAATTAGCACAAAACAGACAATCATAAACCTAAAGCCCGATCCTTTACCAAAATTACATGTTCTTATTATTTTGAAGTTTGTTTGTATTTTATATATGAATATTTATAAACTTAAATTAGAAAGCGAAACTTTTTTACCAATTAAGGTATGTAAAAAAATAAATAAATATGTTAATTTCAACGATAAAAATAATATTTAATGTGATACATAATGATTGATTGCTTATTGAACAAAAAAAAAAAAAAAAAAAAAAAAAAAAAAAAAAGAGAGAGAGAAATAAAAAGTATATGAGTATTTATGATAGTTAAGAAACTTATTGTAAAATTTGATATGGATAGAGGAAAACTTTGTATGTTTAGGAAAAATAATTGTAGAGAAAGTTTAAAATTTTAAGGTTGGACTGTGAGATTTTATCTATTATATTTGTACGAAATAAAAATCTATTGAAATTTGAATTTCATAGAGTCTAAAAGATGAAAATAAACAAAAATGAAATAAATAAAAGAGTTTTCCCAAAATGGTCCCTTGACTATTTCTCAAACGTATATTAGGCGTATTATAGGTAAACGGACAAAAATGCCCTCCATTTTAACACTGAGTATAAGGAAAACTTAACGGAGGACTAAATTGGGTGAGTTTTTGAAAGTTGAGGGACCAAATTTGGTGCAATTGAAAGTCGAAATGTAAAATTGAGAATGAGCAATAGTCAATGGACCATTTTGAGGAAAAACTCTTTTATAAACATATAGAAGGAACTGTATGAATCTATTACACAGTGTCCGGTTAGGTTCGAACCGAACCGTAGTCATCTATAAATATAAGCAATAATTTGTTGGGGAAGAAAAATAACTGAAATACTTATTTTTAATGATAAAAATGTCCATCTATCTAACATAAAAGGAGAAAAAACCCACACTTTTAACATAACTGAAGGACAAATTAAATGTGAATACATAAATAACTCTGGAGAAAAAGAGTTATAAACATATAACTCAGGAGAAAAGTGTCATTTTCATTTGTTTAAATTTGTTGCACAAATTTTAATTTTCTATTCTAAATCTATATTGTTTTAATTAAAATATACATTTCATTACCACTTGATCTACTAGACAAAATCTCTGCTATTTTAATTTTTAAGAATTTAAATGTAAAAATACATATTATATTAGAGAGTAGTATACATGTGTAAATGAAAAATGCATGAGAATGGTTATAGTCATGGCTTCCCTGATCCTAAATGCAGGAAAAAAAAGCAAAGATAAAAGGCAACAATGCAATGAGTGAGCTCACCAACAGGCAACAGGCGTGAATGAATCACCTCCATCGTCTTCAGATCATCATCAATTCCCAATGCAACTTTCAAACACAGACACGTGAATCTGTTACTCTCACTCCCCAAATTATGCACTTTAATTCATGCACTTCAGCAACCCACTGTTCTATAAATTCTGCAACTAACACTTCATGAATCCATCCCCCATACCAAATTAATTAGCTACATTTCTCTCTAACCATCTGATGATGATGATGAAAGCCAATGAAAGCAGCCTCCTCGTATCCCTCTGCGTGGTGGTGCTGGTGATGATGTGCGGCGGCGGAATGGGAGTGGGTGACGCTGCTGCGGCGGTTTCCTGCAGCGTGACGGAGCTGGAGGCGTGTCTGCCGGCGATGCTGTTTGGGCAGTCGCCGTCGGGGGAGTGTTGCAGTAAGCTGAGGGAGCAGGCGCCTTGCTTGTGTGAGTACATGAGGAATCCCAGCCTTAGGCCATATGTGGACTCTCCTAATGCAACAAAAATTGCTGCGGCTTGTGCTGTCGCCATCCCTACATGTTCCATTAATTAATAATTATTCTTATTATTGTTGTTGTTTTTGTTGTGTCTTGTTGGGTTTATCAGTTTATGTTTGAAGGAAATTAAGATGATGGTTGTAATACTACAGCTATAAGCTTAAAACCATTTCCTGGATGGTTAATAAATTTTAAAAACAAAATTAAATGTTTGCAATCTCTCTCTATATATATATAGAATCAGTTCCGTGTGGACAATGCTTCCGGTGCGTCCACTCACCATTAGATAAGTACCACAAAGTGTTTGGAAATGTACCATGTTTTTTTGGTGTGTGATGTATTTATGCATTTGCGAATGTGTGGTGCATTTTTACATACTTAATGGTGAATCCGCACTGGCCGCACGGGAAGCATTGTCCGTATTTGAACTAGTATATATATATATATATATATATATATATATATATATATATATATATAGGCTTCGAATCCGGTGCACCCCCTTCTAATAAATGAGACCATGAGGCCTCCTAATATTCATTTATTCAATTTCCATCAATGGTTGAGATTATAAGAGATTAGGGTAGTAATTAAGGACATTTTCCAATGTAAAGGATATATTAGTAATTGTAATTCTAATTTATTTACGGACATAATATTATTGGAATCTGTAGCATTAAATTAGGGAGTTTGTGGATGGAAATTAATACTTTGAATTACTACAAAGGCTGATGAGGTGAACTTGGCGTGAACAAGGCTTGAGGAGAAAACGAACGGGCAAGTGCATTTACGTGCCATCGTCTGTGCATACGCTGAATATTGGGGTTTTTTCCGCTGGGATGGTGGGAGGGGGTGGGGGTGGGGGTTGGTGGACGAACTAGAATATCTGTTATGTGCGTAGCGTGTGTGTGTTCAGTTGGTGAACAAACTATTTTTTTTTCTTCTTTTTTTAGGCGGGTGCACCACTGTTTTCGTGTTGATGCGTTTTTGGGGGGTTGCCTTGTTTGGTGTGGTTGTTTGTGCGTAGCAGTGTCTTACCGTGTGCAAGATAGGGTGTGGTTTAGTTGCTAATTGACAATATTATTTATATTTTCCTGTCTTTCTCATTTAGTTTATTTGCGTTTCTGTTGTTAGGTTGATGCGTGTGTGTTGTTTGGTTGGTGCGTGAACCAAGCGATTCTTGAGCACGAAGGTTTAATTAAAATTAGATGACCTAAAAATTGATTGAGAATTGGATCCGTGTGTAAATTAATTTAGTTCTAGATACAGACATTTGCTTTGGAACTTTGTGCATTTTTGGCAATGGAACTTTGCATCATGTGGTCCGTGTTGTTTTTTTAGTTTTGTTATTTACACTGGTGTGTGCATTTTTATGGTACGGCGTGTGCAAATTTTTGGCAATGGAACTTTGCATCATGTGGTCTATTATACACGTCATAACACTCCAATGCACACACTAAATACAAAAAACAAAAGCATATGAAGAAATAAGCTTGTGCATATCGTTTGTACAAAAAACAAAAGCATATGAAGAAATGGGCCTGTGCAAAAAAAAAAAAAAAAAAAAAAAAAAAAAAAAAAAAAAAAAAAAAGCGTGTGCATGATAGTAGCGTATAGGTGCTGGGATTTTCAAACACATGATAATATTAAGTTGAACTGAATGACACATCTTTATTACGAAAATGTTAAGGTCGAAATTCAAAAACTAACACCAACTACTTGGAAAGGGGAACCAAAGTCAGAAACCCCAGCTAACGCATCGGACTCCAAAGTCAGGCCCAGGAGGTCATCATGGAGCTCCATAAAGTGGGTCATGTCCTCCAAAGCTCCAGCTAACGCATCGGACTTCTCAGCATATATCGCAGCCACAGTCTGCAACATTAAAAAAATTGTGTTCATATTACAATGCATACTTGAAAAAACAACTTGAACTATTTTACCGGCAAAAATCTAACCTCAGCATAATAAAAAAATTCCAATACGAAACAAAACACACACAGACTAGTTACAACACCATTAGCATGACCACCAACCCCTACCCCCCACAAAAAAAAAAAAAAAAAATAAATAAAAATACACTAATCACAGACTATGTACGCACAAACTCATAGTAAATAAAGCTACAACAAGGGTATACTATACTGCATTCACCTCTAACCCCCTACGCACATAGCGAAATTGGGAAAAAAAAAAAAGATATACACAGTAATATCAACAAATATCCAAACAATATTTCCAGTTCATTACAAATACTATAATGCATTAACCTCCTACCCCATACGCACATAGCATACTTGTAAAAAAAAAAAAAAAAAAAAAAAAAAAAAAAACCCATTACGAAACAAACACAAACCGAACCCATTACGTACAAACCCATACTAATTAAAGCTACACCGTGTTTACACTGTACTGCATTCACTGCCTAACCCCTACGCACATAGCATACTTAAATATGTAATTTATACAATATTGAACGTTTAAATAACACACTGCACTACATTACAAAACCAAGCATTACATTACAAAACCAAGTACACTCTGAGGCAGAGATACGCATTGATCCAACCACATGGGCGCCGACCGATCGGCTTGGGGCACTTCAACTGTTGTTGTAGCTCATTAGCAAAAGCAGCAACTCATATCGCGTATTCACCTCGCATCATCTGGGAATGGGGACACAATACAAAAACCGTGTGATGAATTAGGACTTGAAGGAGATTTTCATCAGCATTAAGATAGTGTTTGTTTCGCGGGTTTAGAGCCCGGGAATGAGAATAAAAGCATCTCAACAGGAATGTTACCTTAAAGATATCTCCAAACATCCCCTGCAGTGGACTCTGGCATCGTAATCCATAAAACTTCTCAGCTATTTCATCTAACAACTACACAGCCATCAAGATAAATGAGACAAATAACTGCAAGCTTGATCTGACCCAAAGCATGTTTTACCCAAAATATCTAACAGATGGAAAAGTATTTCAAGTAGGACCTCATAAAATGTTGGTTCTCTTTCTATACTGAGCTTGTAGACCACCCTCAACTTATTAAACAGGGGGATTGCATCTCTCTGCAACCTGCATTATAATTATCATTCAAATGCAGTAGCAAACAGCTCTTTAAACTCTAAATTGAAAAATACAGAGAGGAAAAAGAGTTGATGGTCTAATTCATTACATAAAAACACAATGCTCTCATAATCAGATGGTACTAGAACAAACACACACCCTCTCTCCACTACCAAACCAACACCCTGTTTACAATTTTAAAAAAATATATATATGTCTCCAACCAAAAACCTCGCCCGCCTCGTCGGAATGCGAAAACCCTAGTTACCACCGACCACCGTCGAACTAATCTTCGAACAAAATGATAGAAACAAAAATACGAATAAAAAAAAAGACTTAGGAATACCTTGAACACCACCGGTAGCCTCCCTCTTCCGACGCTTTGACCATCGGATGGAAGACCAAGCTATGGAGAATCCGATCGAGGAAACAACTTTAGAGATTAGTTCGAAGATTGGTTGTTCAGAGAGACAGAGAGACGGGAGGAGGCGATGAGAACGAGAGAAAATCGGAAGAATTTGGGAAAGTGATGGAGGTCGAAAATTGGAGAGGGAGAAAGTGATGGAGGTCGAAAAGTGATGGAGCGGGAGTTGGACTATGGCTGGAAGAGAGAGAGACACAGAAGATGAAGGGTTGAAATACTCACGCAGATTCCCAGACGAAATTAAATACATGCTATAATAAAAGTCATTGCGAAATTACAAAACAAGCCCTAATGTCCTCACAAAGCTGATGCACGTGGTAAAAAAGCCCAAATCATCTGGACCATTCATCTAAACTAATTAAGGGTCAGAAAAGGTGCTCACGAGCTCATCTGCCAAGGGGGTGTGCACCGGATCCAAAATCTATATATATATATATATATATATATGGGTGGAGCCAGGATTTGTTAGTGCGGGGGCCAATCACAATTTGAGAGAGTGTATTTTACAAATTTACTAAAAATTAGAACGTCTTTTTTTGCATGTCACAAAAATCGTCTATAATTGAATCTATACTAAATTGTTTTGCAATTTGTTTTTTAATGTATACTAACAAACAATCATTAAGAATTTGGGAAACAAAAAAGAATAAGAAATATGTATAAGCCATATTTTTGGCTTATACATATTTCAAGAAGAAGAAATTTGGAGCCTCTTAGACAATATGTGATTGTGCTGTATATTCAAGAAGAAGAAATCATATTTTTGGCAAGGGCCAATTGAGAATCAAATAAGATTTTGAAATCTTAGTCTGAAAGTTTTTGTTTGGAGAGTGCAAATACTTTGGGGCAAATTATGATGTGGAACCGTGTCCACCTTGCAAGGTGGACACAGTTCCAAAATTGTTTATAATTATAAGTATAGAGTTCAAAAATTATGAATATAGAGTTCTATAATTATGAACACGGAGTTCTGTAATTGTGAATATAGAGTTCAATAATTGTGAATATAAAGTTCAAAAATTATGAACATAGAATTCAATAATTATGAATATAGAGTTCTGTAATTGTGAATATATAGTCCAATAATTGTGAATATAAAGTTCAAAAACTATGAACATAAAACTTTATAATTATGAACATAGAGTTCAGTAATTATGAACATAGAATCGTGTTCACTTTACAAGGTGGACACGATTTCTCGGCATAACAGTCCATACTTAGGTGGATGGCTAAAAAATAATATATTATTAATAATTTTTTTTTTTGGGGGAGGGAGGGGGGAAGGGACAGTCGTTATATTATAGACCGCGGTGCACATGCACCGCGGTAAAAAACGACGTCGTTTCTTTAAGTAAAGAAACAGCTCGCCGTTAGAGTTAACGGAGTCCGCTTGTTTAGTGTATTAAACACCAACTGACACTACAGTATATCCAAACCGACACTGCAGTTATATCAAAATGATACTGTAGTTATAGTGAAATGAAACTGCAGTGTATATAAACTGAAACTGAATAACATTTCACATATTTGAGTGTATATTGTACAATGAAGCTGTAATTATATCAAA